TTCCCTTCTTTCCCTTCTTTCCCTTCTTTCCTTCTCTTTCTTTCCCTCTTTCCTTCCTTCTTTCCTTCTCTCTACTCTCTCTCTCTCCTTCCCTCTTTCCTCCTTCTGTGGCCCAACTCTAGTGAGAAGGGGTTTAAACTTTAAACCCCTTCTCCACTCCCCCCCCCACAGGCCAGCTGGGGAAGGGAAGGGGAGGCTTTTGATGATGCCTCCCCCCCTTTTGCTTTCCCTTCTGACATCACTTCCGGTGATGTTAAGGACCGTAGCATATGCTAATAGCCTAGTAGCTTATTAGCATACCATATGCTAATGAGCTCCTGCAGCTCTTTTTCTACGAAAAGACCCCTGGCTTTAGTAATAGGGTTTTAGTTTCTAGTGCAGTTCACACTTTACAGAGAGTCCCCTTCATGAGTAAAGTTTGTAAAGTTTGTGAGTTACCTGTTCTGTGGATCCTCAGAACTCTGAGAATTAGAATGACAGTCTTCAGCTACTGCCTGAACATTTGCTATAAAAAAGTAGAAGTCCTCTCAGTATTAATGCAATTATTATTTCTCATTCAGCACCAATATTAATATGTGACTTGTCTAACAAAGAACACTCCATAAATACAATAATAGGTTTTGTGAATGTTTTATGAAAAAACAGATACAAATCGGTGGACAAAATCTAGGACAGCCAACACTTCCTTGTGATTTTTGAACCACTTCATTTTACTGGGGTGTATCCAACTATGGAATTTCTCCAGGGGAACAGCATTTGCAAAAGAGGGAGCAGCGATTTCTACCAATTGTTCCCTTCCACCAATTCTTCCTCTAATTTTATACCAGATCCTGAGGATCCACTGATCCCCCCCTCCAAGAATGGGAGGGAGGGGACACAGAGGGCTGTGGCAAGAGAAGAAAGCAAGAAAGTGACACTGTAAGAAATTCACACATGGCTGGATACACCCCATTAATCCTATTAGCAAAAAGATGTGAATATAGAAAAATGACCCTCAATATTCAAAGTCAAGAATAGGCAACATGTTAAACCCTGACAGATGCAATAGTAACGTGTCTAGAAACATATTCAAATCAGAAATGTAAGGCTATAAATTTCACATTTTGCTCCATTCCCAACAAATTCCTTTTAAAAACCAATGAACTCCAGTTCTTCTGGGAAAAGTTGGCAACCATATGCATCTCTCCTCCAGAGAACCTGCATGGAGTATTTTAGTCAAACAGACTATTAAGCAATATTCAAGAATCTGGATTGCAAACAAAGTCTGATATACAAAATGTACAGAGAAATTATACTAGTGAAAGAAGTTTCATATTTCTTTCTTCTATTCTAAAAGGTAATCTAGCATCATAGATAATAAATCCCAGAATTATACTACCTTCTTCATCCAAAGATATGCTGCGTATTATAACAGGACTGGAGTATGCTGGCAAAATCAGTGGTATATTTGAAGGTACAGCATAGCCACAGGGTACAGGAACAGAATATCCGCCTGACAGACTAGGGCTTATACTTCCATCTTGTGGACTTGGCTCTGGTGACAATGATGGCTCCTTTTCTTCCACTGGTGAAATGGTTATGACAGAGTAAGGGTTTACCCTTGGTAGAGCCCCCTCTGAATTGGCTTCAGCTCTCTGCATTTTCTCAGTTCCAGCTACATTTTCTACAATCCCTTTAAAATTGAAGACAGAAGTTTTAATTTTATTTCAGCATTGTAGTCAAAATTATATTACAAATGCAGTCCATCGAAGTCTATGAGTTTAGAAGGCTGTAACTTTGCTTAATTTGCACCACGAATTATTTAATATTGTTTCTATTGTTGACAGTAGCATAGCAATCTACTGTTAAAAGCACAGTATTCCCAGCAGCACTGTAAGGGATAGGGGGAGGTGGGGGGTGGGAGAAGCAGCAGGTACAGCAAAAGAGGCCTGCTTGCTGGGAATGGAGATGGAGCGGGGGGGAAAGGAGGCTAGGCAGTGGAGGCCAGGATCTGTACGGGTGGTGTCAGGTGATGCAGTGTGCCCAGCAGCACTGTAAGGGATAGGGGGAGCTGGACATGTGGCGGGCCCAGTGGTGGAGACAGGGAGCCATGTTGGGCTTGCTAGGAGCTGATTGCTGGGGGAGCCAAAGTTGAGCTGGGCTCACCAGCCGTGGAGGCGATGGGGGGGGGGGACTGCAATAGTTGCCAGTGATGGTGTGTGTGAGGGAGCTGCAGCTAAAAGTGAGAAGGGATTTCTCCCCCTGTAATTATCATGGGTTCCCAGCCATATATATTCTAATAGCAACATCGGACAAATCCTAGGATACTTAAATCTTGTGACTGGAACCATGAGTGGGATAGACAGATCTTTCTACAACCCTGAAAAAAAACCTTAAAACCGGCTTCCGGTACGGCGTTTGTGATGGACAGGCGGGCGCGGCAGCGCTGCGCTGAGACGCCCGAGTCCTTTCGTGTTCCTAGGAGCCCCCCGTTCGCCGGGTAGGCTTCGTCTAATCCTCCTGGAGAGAGGATTAGCAGCAGAGGGCTTGTGGCGGCCCCACCCCAAAATCGGCAAATGGGGGGGTGTCCGCTATCGCCCTGAAGTGGGAGCGTGGAATGGAGGGAACATGGTTACTCATGTCTCCACTAGCAACGGCCATCCGAATTTTTAATGAGGTTTAATTTTTTCTTTCGAAGATTGGTTTCCATGTCACATTAAAGGACTTGGTTGGTGTTGGTGTTTAACTTTGCTAAAAAAGGACTGGATTACTAACGCCCCCCCCCCCCCCGGGGGATCCCCTCCCATTTGGTTTAAGAAAAACGGCCGAGAAATGTCTATGGGAATGGAGAGTGAAGATATTTGAGGGGGTAAGAGACAGTTTTTTGCTGGAAGTAACATCTTCTTCTCTTTTTAAGAATTGATAAGAACATTAAAACAACTTTTGCCATATATGTGGGAAGAAAGTGGAATTAATGTTAGCGAAGAAAATGGCGTCGTCGTCTTTGTGCGATGGAAATAATTGGTGAGCTCAGATCAGAACATTTCCAAAAAATTCTGAGAGAAGAAATAGGGAAAGCACTTCAACTAGTATGGGATAACGTTTTGAGAAACTACCAGAGTGTTTCCGTAGAGGATAAAGACAATATAGAGCAAACACAAGGACGAAATGACTGGCAGGAGAGTAAGCAGATGAAAGAGCAACATGATATGCAGCACCCGTTCATAGAAGAAGGGATAAAAGAAGCGGTTTTGCCAAAAGGTGATTTGGAAAGGGAAAAAAAAGCGAAAAACAGGAGGGACAAAAAAACGTTGCTTTAAGCCTTCGTGGAGGAAAAAGAAACTAGCAAAGAGAGGGAAAATAAAGAAAAATGCAAAGAAATTGGAAGGCTCCAAACAACTGAATGAGGATGTGAGAAAATATGGAAGATACTTTTTGTTAATTAAGTCAAAGGAGTACAAAGATCCACGACATTTGCAAGAAAATGGGGAAAATAAAAATAAAAAGGAAATAGAGCTTAGGGTTATTGTAATGAGCGGTATTGGTTAGATATATACTGATATGAGTTGACTGTCATTATATGGGGAATAGAAGCTCAATAGGATGGAAAGTTTGAAAGAAGGTAGATAGATATAGGTTTGGAAACTTGAGAAGAAAGTGAAAAGGAAAGTCAAGAATAGGTAATGTCTGATGAAGAAAATGAAATTCAAGTCTAAATAAAATTTCAGGATAGAAGGAGAGAGCATATTAATGTTAATAACATAATAATACTATTATTACTATTTTTCTTTATTAAATATATACAATTATAAGCTCGCTGAACTTGAGACTTTTGAAAACTGGGAGAGAGGTTATATATAAACCTTTATTAAATCTTTATTAAAACGTATAATTGGTTATTTGTAGTTGGGGTGGAATATATTGTGGGCATTAGAAATATCCTCATGATGTAGAGAGTTAAAGAAAACTATTTCAGTTGAAAGCTAAGCCAATAAACTTGGTTATGGTATGTAGGTTGGGGAATGATAATGGGAAGAAATAACAAGATAAAATTTGCAGATGATGGAGATGGGAAATACTCCTGCTGATGAAAAATCCTTTTATTATTATTCTTAGCATTTATTTTCCTTAAATCTTGATTGAATGGAAATAAGTGATTTAGGTGACAAATTTTTGGATGAAATGTAATTAAGACCTCAGTATTGAAATGTGTAATGTTAATCGGTAATTTTGAGGATAGAGAGAATGTATAAACGATGCAGATAGTTTAAGAAAACTATTTCAGTTGAAAGGGAAGTAAATAAACTGGACTATGGTACTTAGGTTGGGGAAAGAAATGGGAAGAAAAAATAAGATGAAATGTGCAGGTGATGAAGATGTGAACATTCCAGTTGATGAAAAACCCTTTATTATTATTTTGAGCATATATTTTCCTTAAACGCAGATTGAATGGAAACAAGTTATGTATATGATGCATGAAATGTAATTAAGACCTTGAGTTATGCAAAGTGTATTGTTAAATGGTAATTTTGAGGATAGAAAAAATGTATAAGCCATGTATTTAACCAAAATGTTTGAGTAATGTGATATGGAAAGACAATGGTTGCGGTATTGGTGTAGGTATCGGTGTAGGTTTGTTGTTGCTGTCTATATGTGTATTTGTTTGTTGTTGATGTTCATATGTGTAGGTTTGATTAAGTCTGAAAACCTAATAAAAATATATTTTAAAAAAAAAAACTTAAAACCATACAAAAACCCTTAAAACAATAAAAATACTAGCTTTTAAAACGGAAGCCCTCAGTGGCAGCTGCTATGCAACCATACCATTTGAGGCTGGATTTCAGCCAGTAAAAGGTCATGGGAAGGTGCAGGTCCCTTTCCAGGGCTGTTTTGGCCTTTGAGGGAGGACTCATTATGCTTAGACCTGGCAGCAACCACTGAGTGACCTGATATCACCCAACTGCATGACACACCCAAGAGGGGCTGCGTATTCCTGTTCAACAGAAGCCACCCTATGAAAGCCAGTATGATGGAGCAGTTAGTGCTTCAGAGTACCTAGGTCTGGAAGATTCAAGTCTGCCACGGAAGGTCACTAGGTGATGTTGTGCCAGTCACATATTTTCAATCCTATCCTACCTGACACGGTTGTTGTGACGATAAAAAAGAGGAGAGGAGAATGATATAAGCGGCTTTGATTCTATTGGGGAGAAAGTAGGGGTATAAATGAAGTAAATAAATAATAAATATAGCCGAAGGTGGGAGACAAATAAAAGGTAGGTTGGTGAATGACTGGGAAGGAGAGAATGAGGCAGGAAAAGGGGAGAGGATATAGAAGTTGTCAGGAGAAGAGAAAAGGGAAATAATGTGGGGAGGGGAAAACAGGGAAAAGTGAGTCGTCGTCCCCCCCGAGTCCTTGAGGGCTCCCTACCATGCAAGTAGGCCTGTCCAATGGCCGGGACCACACAACTTGGCCTGTTTTCCTAGGTGTGAGCTGCCATGGGGAAGGGAAAGTTGAAGAGAGAGGGGCAGATAAATGTAGGTTGGTTGTTGGGTGGAAAGGAAAGGAATCAGGAAAAGGCAAGAGGCTGTGGGGGCTTTTGGGAAAAGGAAAGAGATAATAGTGAGCGAGGCAGAAATGAGATGCCTCCCGCAAGTCCTTGCAGGTTCCCTCTTGTAATTTTATAAACCTCTATCATGTTCCTCCTCAGTCATCTTTTTTTTCTAAACTGAAAAGAGTCCCAGCGTCTTTAGCCTTAGATTTGTATAAATGATGGGGGCAGGGCATTCACAATGTGATAGTTCTTCTAACTCATTTGCTGACATGAATTAAACAATACAGCTGTTACTTTTATGTAGAATAACCATTAAATTCATTTAAAGGCATTTAATACATAAGAGACGACATGGGGATGCCTTCTTAAATTATTTTTTTATCATCAGCTGGGCATCATCCACTGTTGTTCTAGTCTATAGGTTTCTTTTATACACAGGCTCCCAATGTAAACGGTACCATGTAAACAGTACCTTGAAAACATAATAGCCATAGCAGGCTACAACAATCTCACCACTCTACTCTCAGGCACACAGGGTTGCCAGCCTTCAGACAGGGCCTGGAGAACTCCCAGAATTACAACTCATCTCCAGACTACAGAGATCAGATCCCGTGGAGGAAATGGCAGTTGTAGAGAGCAGATTCTATGGCCTCATACTCCACTGAGACCCCTTTGTTCCCCAAACCCCAACTTCCCCAAGCTCCACTTCCAAATCTCCAGGAATTTCCCAACCCAGAGTTGGCAGCCTTACATACACACTTTCCTGTCCAAAATGAACATCTGCACAGGGATCCAGAATATTCATTTTATAGGAGACATATTCATAAACAGGGGTCATTTCGTAGAAAAAGAGCTGCAGGAGCATAATAGTTCATTAGCATATGCCACACCCCCTGACATCTCCGGAAGTGATGTCAGATGGGGAAGCAAAAGGGGGGGAGGCATCTTCAAAACCCGCTTCTCAAACCCCGCCACTTCCCTTCCCCAGCCGGCCTGCGGGGGGGGGGCGAAGAGAGAAGGGGTTTAAAGTTTCTCACTAGAGTTGGAGGAAAGAGGGAAGAAAAGAGAGAGAGAGTAGAGAGAAGGAAAGAAGGAATGAAAGAATGAAAAAAGGGGAGGAAAAAAGAAAGGAAAGAGGGGATAAAAAGAGGGGATAAAAAGAGAGAAGGAAAGAGGGAAAGAAAGAGAAAGAAAGAAAGGAGGGAAAGAGAGAAGAGAAGGAGGGAAAGAAAGAAAAGG